GAAGCATAAAGCGTACCTTTTCAACAACTTGTTGATGGAGAGGAGAAGGCTCCTTGTCATCATCAGCCATGAAGCAGAAGTAGTTCTTGTAGGCTTCAGTTTCTTCTGCTTGATCTACTTCATCATCTGTTTCCCAGACTTCCACACTTGGAGTTTCCATGACCATGAAGGCTTTGTCTTTTGACTGCTTCTTGATCTGCTCCGCTTTTTGAAGGTAGTATGCTTCGTCTTTGACCTTCTTGGTTTTCATTTTGCAATCCTTGGTAAAATGATTTTCACCTTGACAGTTGTGGCACCTGATTACTTCATTATCTTCATGGGACTTCAACTTGTTATCTTGAACCCTTGTGTTCATCCTTTGAGAATTATAACTTTCAGAATTTGAATTCTGAGAGTTGAAGCTTTGTTGACTGTTGCTTCCTCCTTGTAAGTTTCCAGAGTTCTGATGATAGTGTTGGGGTTGCTGATAACTTTGTGCTCTAAAGTTCCCAGTTGGCTTGTTCACAAACTTCTTGAAGTTTGGATTGAACTTGGTTAGGAGTGCCAAGCATTCTTCATACTCCTTTTCCTCATTGATTTGAGGAGATTCCATTGTAGTTCCAATGAAAGCTTGATGATTAGCCATGTATCCATTTGCGATCTGAAGAGGTTGTTGAGTTGACATGTACGGATTCGAGTTGTACTGTTGAGCCATACTCGAACTTTGATAAGGATATGCTCCATATCCTTGGTTGGCAAACTGATCAGCAAAGTGGTTTGGGATTGGATTGTGATGTGCAATCAGGTTTTGAGAATGATTTGCCATGGGTGCTGAATTTCCCAAGGCAAGTCCTTGATTATCAAAAGGAGTTGCTTGAGCTAGCTTGTTGACCTTTGGCTCATGTTGTTGCAGTTCAGCATACAGATCAAACAGAGACATGGTGTCTAGATTGATTGTAGTTTGCAGTATGATCATATGCACTGTATCCCATTTTGGAGATAGACTGTTCAAGAATTTCAGATTGAAATCCTCTTGCGATCTTTCTCCTTTGAGTTTCTTCACCCTGTTGACAACAATGTTGTACCTAGAATATGCATCAAATAGAGTTTCATGAGGTAACATCTTGAAGTTGTCTATGTCTGTCAATGCAACTTTCTTCCTGTTTCCGAGAATCTTATCAGTTCCCTCAAATTGTTTCTTGAGTGCATTCCAGACATTGAAGGGTGAACTCTTGTCTTCATCGGGAAGTTGCTCATAGATGTCATGAGGAATTCCAGATAACAGCTCTTGCATTGCCTTAGCCTCAAACTTCTTGATTTTCCTGTCACGAAGTTGAGCACCAGAGGAAACAGATCCAGAGATAACTTTGGAGGTTTCAGGAGAGACATCAGCTTCAGGAACTCTGATGTCCTTCAAAAATTCTGGAGTATGTTTCCCAGTGGAGATGAAGGTCCAGATGTCAGAGTGATGACCTTCCAGGTAGTACTTGATGCGATCTGCCCAAGAAGTGTATTCACTAGGCACAAGGATAGGTGCACGATTTCCTGCTCCAAGACTGTTTGCAACTGAAACTGAATAGAGAACATTTTGGTTTTGATTCACACTTGCCATTGAGAACAGGTGATCCTAGTTTGAAACTTAAAAAAAATGTTTTTGTGAAAAGTTTTCTAAGTCTCAAAGTCGATCACTCGAGCTCTGATACCAACTGAAGAAACGAGAAAAATTCAGTAAACCTAGACTAGAGTAGTCCAAGTGTTGAAAATATTGAAACAGAGTTTTAGAATCGTCAAGTGGCAAGTAGTGCGGAAAATAAAGTGTTGTGAATCACCAAGTTAATAACAAAAACGTTTTTATATGTTCAATATCAATGATTCAAAAGTGTCTCATATTCATCAAGAATCAGTTACAAGTGTTTGAATGATAGACAAGCTAAAACACTCAAATGGCTCTCTGAAAACTAATCTAAGCAGCAATTGTGCAAAATGATCTGAAATGAGCAAGGAAGAGCAACTTTATAATGGATCCCAAGGGGCCTATTTATAGGCTTTGGAAAAGCCCATGACATGGCTTGACCAATCAGGTGTTGACACGTCATCATGACTTAGTCATCAGTTGACACCTTTGCCCTACTTAACGGAGAATGGATGGAATATTCCAATTCCGTTAGTATTCCGTTAGGGTTCCATCCAAGTTATGAGTCTTCATAATTCTTGAACCTTCATGATCAACAGTGAAAATGTCATGAGCATCATGCTGCTCAATTGTCTTCTTAGATGTCATCAACTTCCAGAAGTGTTGTTGATCATGTTGAGTAGTTTCTTGAATGTTGGACTATGTCTTGAACTTGAAGATGTACCACCACATGTTCGTGATGGACCATGGACGAAATTCATGTTCCTTTCGGTACATTTGGATGTGTCTTCATTGTACATGATGAATCATGTGCAGTCTTGTTGAGCCCTCAATGTGATCATGTTGATCCATTGACTTGAGTTGAGCCACCAAGTGTTCTTGTTGAGCCATCAACTCTTGTTGAGTCATAGAGTTGTGGATGAGTCAACAATATTTCTGATGAGCCATCAATATTCCAAATGATCCATCAGTGTCTTGATGCTTCACATATGATCTAGATGTGCCATATGAGATCATGATGATCCAACTAGCTTTCAGCAAGTGATCCATGTCAACAGCAGGTGCTCCATGTGTACATCAACTTCAAGTGCTCCAACATCTGATTCTTCAAACACTTGTTGAATCTTCAGTATCTTTCCAACCTGAAACATTCTGATAATGTTTGTTAGAGAGATATATAAAAGGACTCAACTTATTTCAAGTTACAATCACATACAAATATTTTCCAACAAAGTGCCAGGAACCACCTCCTCCAGGTCTTCTATGCAAGCATCACAAAGACAACTAGCATACAACCTATAAAAACTTACTAATAATTGTCAGAGTTCAGACTCTGGTCTTGCATATCGTTTGCCAGGAGCCGCCTCCTGGTCTTTCGTACATAATGTCAAGGGCTACCCCTAGGTCTTCCTACAATACATGAACCAAATGGGCCGGTATTGGTGCCTTCGACCCATAGAACAGTGAGGAGACTCACCTCGAACGCAGAAGCTCACTGAAAGAAATCCCTAGTTGTTGCCCGGACGACTCCCTGAGCTATCAGAACAAAATCACACCCAATTAGCAATTGGGTTCCAATCTATGGTCCATAATCCATACTTGAGGTAAAATGACCAATTTACCCCTGGCCCAACCTCAACCAAAACTGAGGCCCAAATCCAATAACCAAAAAGGCCCGAAACCAAAAGATCCACAAAGGCCCACTAATGGCCCAATTTTCCAACTTGGGCCCAACCCCCATGTGGGCCTTATCCTAAAGCTTAATAATTTCCTTAGTCCCAAAAAGTTGATCTCAGATGGCCCAAAAGGCCTAAAGCAACAAGGTGGCCCAAGAAGCGAAGCCCAAAAAAAATACAACAAGCCCAAAGCCCACGCCGAATGCGGGGCGTACTCTCTGCTTACATTGGGCGTACTCGATGAATCCATATCGTGATTTCAAATCAGTACGCTGGGCGTACGGCCAGTTACGCGGGGCGTAGCCTGGCTTAATCCAAAACTCATTTTCTGAAAATAAGCCCAAGTCTTCATTTGAACCACAAGCTAGCACTAAACACCCTTTTCTTAAAAATGAGCAAAAACATACCAAAATGCACACTTAGATCTCTCAAACGCTCAAAATGAGATTAGGGTTTCCGAAATGAGGCTAGAAGACAATGGAGGCTGAGAAATGAAAGAGCCTTGAGCTCATAAAGATGTTTAAATAGTGCCTAAACCCTAAAAATTAGGGTTTGGCACTCTGCTCATTACGCTGGGCATACTCACCCAGGCACGTGCCCTCCTCCATGCACGCATGGGACCAACTTGCCAACTTTTTCCACCAAGGGCCATTTTTGCCATTATTTCAAACTACTCTAACTTCCTCATCTTAGGTCCGTTTCCAACGAACCTTATATCCACGGAAAGTTGGGGAGAAACCCTACGCTCCTAACAACACACCATAGCCATAAAACCTCCTGAACAAAACCCAAAATTCATAAAAGACCGAGTTATTAAATTACAATTATACCCTTGGCCTCTGAAGGCACCATCGAACACTTCGATCACTTAAACCATAACACCCACATCCGAAAAGACCAAAACCTTTCTTCCCCGAAGCCCTAAGCCTCATAACAACTGAAGATTAGGCCGCAGCCCCGAGAAATGAAGCAAATCCAAAATCGAGTGTTACAACCTTTCAATTGAAACTGTGGTTGTGGTGAATGGGCGACTAAAATGGGAAGATGAAATGATGAAGTCATCATACTAGATACTAATATAAATTGTAAAAGAGTTGGATGAAATGATAAAAATATTAAAAATAGGGACCTAATGTGGACAAAATTAAAACCTTATTACCCCTCTTTAAACGGTTATAACAACCATGTTGGTGTAATATGTACAAAAAAAGACCGTAGGGACCTAATGCGGACGAAATAAAAACTTATTACATTTTTTAAACGGTTATATACAACCATATTGGTGTAATATGTACAAAAAAAACCTTAAGGACCTAATGTGGACAAAGTTAAAACCTTATTACCCTCCTAGGTCATTAACCCTAATTGGGCCATTAGTGAGATCTAGTCAAGTCTTAATTTTTTTTTATTTTTTTAAACTGCAATCAGTTAATCGTCAACATTGTTAATTTATTAAACATTTTTTGAACATTATTAAGTTTTAAAGTTTATAAAATACAAAAAATACATTTTTTTATTTATTAATTTTTTTTTTACAAAACAATGGTTGAAACATGAAAGAATTCATATTCATAGAAAAGTATCCATCGGTTCAAAATCAGAAATTCCATACATGCTTGTAACAAGTCCATAAAATAAGAACCAAAAACACATAACGATTCATCTACTTCAGTCGCTAACAAAACTGCTCCATTAATTGTTGGTAGATCAAACAAACAAAAACAAAATCTCCATGGATGCTTTTATTACACTGAAAACAAAAACAAGACTACTGCAAATATTTGTTATATCTAACTAGCTTTATTTTTTAACATGCTAAGATACCATTGTTAGAACTTAGAATAGAATACCCATTGGTGATCTGATCGATTGTCTTCTTCATTTGCAGTTGCATGACTCACATGTGCATGGACTGCACTTGCATCCTCCATTCTCGCCGGCCGCCTCTGCACCTCCGGCCTCAAGCCCACTGCAACACAACCCATAAATAAACTCATCATTAATCACCACCAAATTTCATTTCGATTTAGCGATTTTTGACTTGCAATTGCCAATGGAAACCCACGAAATTGAAGGGGAAAAAAGAAGAAGAGAAGGAGATTACGTACGTGTTGTTGGGTGTAACACCGAGAATAAGCGTCTCAGTGGTGGTGTTCTCGCCGTAGATCGTGTCTGGGTACATCTTGCACCTGCAACCAAACATCAAATCAAAATCAAACATTAGGAAATCTAGAATCGGTTCGCTGCAGATTACATGCGAGAAACAAATCTAGAATGAGAATTCCAAGGAAAAAAAATTAAGATCACAATCGATTTCGATTGATATTCATATTCAATCGAACAGAAAAAGGGGGAAATAGATCAAATCAAATCAAACTGTCAAATAATGAATATCGATGAAAATTACCCGCCGCAGCTGCTTCCACACATGCAACCAGAACCACAGCCACATTTACCAGCACAGCAAGACGACGACATTGTTGATTCAAAAATCTAATCGAGTAGAAGATTTGGTTATGGAATGTATCAAAGCAAAGCAGTCTCTATTGAACGAGTAGTTTGGAGGTTATTTGATCACTGCTATTTATGCGCAGCAGCAAGAGGGAGCAGTGTGTAACAGTTATTGATCTTCACCCTCCACGTATCACGAAATCTTCATGCACACCTATTTCACCGGTAATGGCGGTGATAGGAGACTAGGCGTTGTTGATCCGGTTTTAGATGCGGGCCCGGATCTTAACACGTTTCTCGTATTTGATTACCCGGTTATTCATTTGAAGCAATCCATTTTCAATATTAAAGTGACAAGTAAGTTAATAGTAAATGATTATATTGATTTTTTAGGATTAAGCTCATTTTTTTTTTCTTTCTAAGTGGTCTTTATGTTTTTTATTTGGTCCTTTTAATATGTTCAATATGTTCATCAGTAACTTTTTTTATTTACATAAAAAAAATTTTTAAAAAAAAACCTAAACATTTTTTTTGAAACTCTCAACTTAAATAAATAAATAAATAACCTCACATTTTGCAAAATTTTGTATTTGAACGAACTTTTTTTTTTTGACTCATAATTTCTATGTTTTTATATGTTGTTGTTTATAGTGTTATTGATAGCTTTCAACAATAAAATCTGACATTGACAAGTGATTTTTCTTTAAAACAAAGAGAAATGATGTCATGTCCAATTTTGTTGGCAGAATAAATACCAAAATCCATTTACAAGATATTCGGTGATTGTTCGTTGCATGTGAAGAACAATGATTTAAGTTGGTTTGTTATTAGATCGTTTGGAGTTCGGAAGTTGTCTTTCTGTTTGATTTTTAAAACAAGCTAAGATGCCAAACCAGGTTAGAGTGTTGGTCTTCATTTGATACAATCTCCAAACATCCTATAAATAGATTTTGATATACATTTTGCCAACAATAATCAAACAAGAGAATTATTATAGATCAAATCACTTATAATGTTGAAAATGTTTATAATAGAGAAAAAAACATGAAATATGGAATTAAATTTCAAGCATAGATTGAAGTTTGAAATCTTAGATTGTTTTTCGAATCAAACATAATAATAATTTCCAAACTCCAATCTATATTTGGAATCTTATTTCACCTTCCATTGTTTATATGTTAGAAACATTTTCAATCTTAGGTCGAGTCTTGCTATAAGAATATAAACCCCCTCAGGCCTCAACAACGTCACAACAAACCAAAACACCATAGCTCCAATGTTTTAAAAACCGGTTTTTTAGTTGAACCGGTATGGTGATCGGTTCCGGTTCGACCGCCGGGTCAACCGGTTTCTGTAGTTTTCATGTTTTTTTTTTCTATTTTTCTACACATACATACATATATAAATAATGAATTTGATGTTTACAAATTCAAACATTAAAAATACACATAAAAATAAGTTGTAGATGAATCCAAATACATTAAAATAACACATAACTATAAGTTTTTGTGTTTTACATCAATCAATATACGTCAAAAAGAAAATAAAGTATAATACTATAACGAAATATAGTTTTAAATGAATACAAACACATCAAAAAACTTTATAATATTTACCATATGTTTTTATTTAGAGAAAACTAAATAGATATGAAAAAAATTACCAAAGTTTATTATGTAAATTGTTTTTTTTCATGTGTTTTTAGTCGGTTTAACCAGTTCAACCGGTTTATTTTGACCGGTTCAACCGATTTTTTCTAAAAACCGGCCGGTTCAATCCGGTTTAGAAATTTAATGTAAAACCGGTGATAGTTGAACCGCTCCCTCCCCCGGTTCCCGGTCCAACAGGTTCGACCGGCCGGTTCAAACCGGTTTTTAAAACATTGCATAACTCAAGTCTGAAGCGATACAAACCTTACTATAAAGCGATTGAATTACAGAAAACCAGCTAAACTAGCTATTAGGAGTCAAAGTTGTGTTTTTTAAAGTTTAAACACTTTGTCCAACCAATGATAAATCATGTAAAAGTATATACCAAATATATATACGTAACATACTCACAATTAAATAATTAAACGTAACCTCAATTTATATAAAGATATTGTTTTTATCGTAAGAATTTGTGTTGGAATCTTTCCATAAAAACAAAATAAGTAAAGTAAAAAAGAATATGCCACTTGTGATTCAGCAATATCTTATTGTAAGAAAATGGAGCGCTGAATCAACATAGTGTCAGTATCTACTACACAATCAAGTGGCTTGTAACGCCTCACACTTCACTCTCGTCTCTTCACTGTAATCGGAACCCAAAACCTCCTTCTCTACCCATCCATCAATGGCTGCCACTAGACTCATGGTGTCAACAACCAACATCGGCACATCATCTTCACTACTCTTCAAAGCCGCCGCCTCCCCATTCTTCAAACCTCGCCATTTCAGCCTTTGCTTCAATAACACCACCAAATTAGTTTCGAAGAAGAGGAGTTTCACTTGTTCGGCTCTTTACAGGCCTGATTTCCAGATCAAGGAGGAAGGAACGTCCGAAACCCTAGATTACAGAGTTTTCTTCGTTGATAATTCCGGCAAAAAGGTCAATATTCATCTCTCGTTCCGATTTTTGTGTTTTCGCTGATTAACGTTCTAGGGTTTCGATTATCTTATTCGATTTCGATACATTGCTTTAGATGTTTGAACATTGTATGATTGGTGATGATATTCGGTTCGAATGTGTATGCAGTACGGTAATTATTGATTTAGGGTTTAATTGTGAATACGTGTTGATGGAATTGGGATATAATAACGTGACTTATTGTTTCAGATTTCACCATGGCATGATATACCATTGCATGTTGGTGATGGAACATTCAATTTTATTGTTGAAATTCCGAAAGAATCAAGTGCAAAAATGGAGGTTGCTACTGATGAAATCTTCACACCCATTAAGCAAGATACAAAAAAAGGGAAACTTAGATACTACCCGTAAGTGGTTCTGCTTTCTCTATTAAGTTTTGTTCTTTTTGTATTAAGTCAAAAAGAAACACTCATATAATATACCTTTGATTCTCAGGTACAATATTAACTGGAATTATGGATTGCTTCCACAAACATGGGAAGATCCATCATTTGCAAATCCTGATGTTGATGGAGCATTTGGAGACAATGATCCAGGTAACTTTAAAAATCCCATTTTGTATTAAACGATTGTGTATGTATGAAAGACTTTGTTAACTTCAATCTAATACGCCAAATTCTTTTAATTTTGATATTGTAGTTGATGTGGTTGAAATTGGTCAAAATCGTGGGAACGTGGGTCAACTTATGAAAGTCAAACCTTTAGGTTGTCTAGCTATGATTGATGAAGGAGAACTCGATTGGAAAATTGTTGCAATCTCATTGGATGATCCAAAAGCTTCACTTGTTAATGACATTGATGATGTTGAGAAGCATTTTCCGGTATTAACCCTCTTTGACTTTGACTATCACTAATAGGACAAGGACTCAACTCTCAATCTCTTGTATGTGCAAAAGACGAAAATGCCCTCATTTTTTATCATCGAAAATAGCCCTAATTAATGACTTTTGTTTAGGGCACACTTACCGCAATTAGAGATTGGTTTAGAGACTACAAGATTCCTGATGGGAAGCCTGCCAACAACTTTGGTCTTGGCAATAAAGCAGCTAATAAGGTAATAAACTAATAAACTTGAACCCTCTTTAGGGGTATTTAAGTAATTTTAATAATTTATGAAATTAATCAAACAGGCATACGCGCTGAAAGTGATCACGGAGACAAACGAGTCATGGGCTAACCTAGTCAAGAGATCAACTCCAGCTGGGGAGCTTTCGCTTGTGTAGTAGTAAATGCAAAATTTATAAAGATTTTCAAGTTAAATTGAGACATTTTAAGCAAATTTTTTTCATAAATCAAAGATTTCATTTGGTATGAAATGAAATTCAAGAGCTACTTTTGCATATTTCATACATGTCAACTTAGAACTCTCCATGTCTTATTTGGCACCTTTTTTTTTCCCCTTCAAAATTGCTCGACTTGAAAATTATGATCCGGATTCGGTTATTTCGCCTTGGAAAAATGTTGACTGGTCAAAATCGATGATGTGGCATTATGATGGAAATTATTTTAAAAAAGCAACATTCGTTTAGGTCGTCTAATCATCGAATGGATTTGTCTTGTTTGACTTTTTTGGATTTTCCATATCTTCATCATCTTTATCAACAAATGGAATAAAAATACCTGCATAAACAAAAAATAAATAAATAAATAAAGTGAAATTTAATCAAAATAGGTGGAAGAAATGTTTGGGAAAAGTACCTATACACCATATTCCAGCTGCTAAAAACAGTACGGTTGTCAAGATTAATGTGGATGTTCTCCAGTTTCCAATATGGTCCTGTGTTACATACATGTAAATAGTTATGAAATTAATTTTACAATTACTAAACTCTTTATTTATTTATTATATGAAATGTGGAAATACAAACCTGCATAACTCCAACAAGTGGAGATGAAGGCACATCACCAAAGATATGAATTGATACAGTAGATGCAGCCATAGCCAATGGTCTTAAGCTTGGTTTAACAGCATGAATAGACACAAAGTTTACAGGACCCTGTAGTGTGGGGAAAAATATTTATTTATTTTTTAAAGAAAATAATGTTTGATGAGATGATTTAAATAAAAAGGTTTATACCTGAGTGGCAAAAATGAGCATTTCTCCAATAAGAAAGAAAACAATGAAGACGTACATGTTCTTGAAACAAAAGGCACTAAAGCAAAATATTGCCCCGAAAAATGTTACTGATGAAAGAAGCTGTGGAGTTTAAAGATGACACTTAATTAATAATTAATACAAAATCCACAAATTTTATTAGATTTATTATATAAATGCTAAAATTATGTGTTTGTGCGTTACCTTAAAAGCATTAGGGATTGTGGAATCAAGTTTGTCAAGGACAAAACCTCCCGTTAATGTCCCCACAATTCCACCCACAATCGTGATTCCTCCAAACATCATGTCAGCATTGCTCTACAAACATCATGTTATCATTAATTAAGGCTTAATAAATGCAAGAAATACCAACCTATTTTTATTTTTATTTTTTATTATAGAATTTCTTTTTATTACAACATTATATTTTGAAAATGTCACCAATTATGTTTCAAATACAAAGCAATTGTATTTCTCACGTACCATATGATATATGCTATAGCCAGCCTTTGGTCCCCAATATGAATAAGCACCTATCACAAAATTGTACGCAATATAACCTAAAAAAAAACCATTCAAAAGTAAACAATTAAGATACGCCACGTCATCATTTTTTTCCTTCAAGTTTCTTTTAAAAAAAAAAGGGTACCTAAAACATTTACTATATATATTTTCTCATTCAGAAGCTCTTTAATATCTTGGAAAATGCTAGTAGTTTGAGAATCAGCCCTGCAACAACACAATAAGCATTTAATAATTTAAATATCATTTTTATTTCAAAAGCCATTTTTTTATTTTTATAAATAATAAAATAAAAGAACAAACCCTAACTTGTCTTTTGAAGATCCCGCGGCATTTTTAGCATTCGTAATACCTGCTTAGAAACAAACCATGAGCCAAAAGGGTACTTTCGTCATAATGGTAAATACTGACATAAACAGTGAAAGCAGATACTAGAAATAAAGCAGTAATGCTAAAAATGTACCTTTGAGATTCAAAGGTTTCATTACAAAACCCAAAATAACAAATGGCACCATCATAACCGCTTCACTTAAAAACGCGTATCGCCAACCATAACTACCTCCAACCTGAAAATATAATAATATTTATTCAAATAAAAATTAAAAAAAAAAAAAAAAACTCAAATAAAGGAAAAACATCACTTGCCAGTCCACCATAAACATAACCAAGTGCAATTCCGGTTGGTATACACATGTAAAATATTCCTAGCCATGCTGATCTCTGTGATATTAATAAATTAAAATAATTAAAAGAAACGATTATATTAAATTATTAATTATTATTTATTAATAAATGAAAATAGAAAGAATCCACAAGAAAACCTGTTTTGGTGGAGCATTTTCATCAATGAATGGAGCTGCAAGACTTATAAAAGAAGCTTCACCAACACCAACTAACCTGAATTTTTTTGAAAGATTTACATCATGTTGATGATGTGGCACATTTGATTGAAAAAAAAGAAGAATAAAAACTTAATTTTTATTTAGTATCTTACATTCGACACACTGTAATTGACCAAAAACCAACTGAAATTCCACAACCAATTGCAGCAAAAGTCCAAATTAACAAACCAACTGCAACAAGCCTAAAGGGATTCATGCTGCACATTAAACAAACACCAAAAATGTAATTCATCATGACAAACAATAAATAAATAAACTTACTTTGTGCTTTAATAATTAGGTTTTCTCCAATTCATTTTTACTATTTTTTTTTTTTTTTTACTTTAGCTTTATTGTTTGTATCTTTTTTCTTGACAGTTTCTTTACTATTGGGTGGATGTATGATTGTCTATTTATTATGAGTCATCATCAAGGTTCAAATTTTAATATTTGAAGAAAAATGATGCAATTATTTATACTAATGGTGTAGAAAATCATACATACATATTTCATATTACCTCTTGGCCAAGGATGCAAATATTGGAGATGCAATAAGAAGTCCAACCATGAATGCAGAAGATAGAACACCATCTTCACCATTGGTCAAGTGGAACTCACCCCTGCAAAACACAGAAAAGTGAAAAGACGATAGTACCCTTAGGGTTTCAATTTCAAGGACAAGATACCAAGTATATATAATATATATTTCCACGAATTGAATCCAAAAGTAAGACTTACTGAAGTCCAGTACCACTTGAACATTCTCCAGAAGGTTTGCAAGTTTCTGGAACCCCGTTTACACCAGTACTCGCAATTACTCCTCGATCCAAATAAGTTATCAAGTTGATCACACAGAATAGCCCAAGCAACCTGTTAATATACACAATCAATTACCCAATTTTATCAACGAAACTTCCCAATTGAATCCTGCGATTCATAAAATATATATACATAATCGCCTAAAATGAAACATTTAAATACTACGATCGAACCTCAATGAACACAAACGATGCCAAAATGTCAATCGATTTTAGATAGAAGAAGAAGAAGAGGGGAAGGGATTTAAGATCTGCGAATTCGCACATTTTGAAATAGGTTTAATTCTATTCTACAACAATCATAGATTCAATTAACGATGATTAGTGTTACCTCCAAGGGGTGAACCAAGAAGTATCAGCTGAATCGTTGTCAATGTCAATATCAATCGAATGTTTTTCGGATCCTTTCTCTACAGCACCCATGTCATGTAATGCCTGTGATTATTTGAACGCAGAAGGTTTCAGTGGAGTTTTGTTCTTGAAGAAGAAGAAGAAGAAGAAGAAGAAGAGACTGCAAAACTTTTTTGTTGTAAAAGAAGAAATCCATCTCATTGACATCCTTTTGTTATACTGCGAACAGGTGTCAAATTTTCATTTCAAGTTTGCTTAATTTCCTTTCCCTTTTTGTGTTATGATGTTCTTACGTGGTGTTCCGTGAGTCTCTGAGTCTGGATTTATTTCTCTTACTTCCTATTTGGAAGTTTGACATTTATTGCAATTTCTATCCTCATGTTTCAATTCTGACAATTTACAACCAAACCAGATTTATGCCGGCAATGGATAAATAAATGACTAGGTTCATTGAAAAGCAACATGAAACTTTGAAATCTTACGTAATCAAGAGTAACAAATTATTACTTTTAGCCTTATATTTGTTTCTTTTTTCTTTTCACGTTAAGTTCATATGTATAAAAGGGATCAATGGAAAAGGTAGGGTTGTTTGATAAAACCGAATCATTTTATGTTTAAAGGTTAGTACCTCTTAATAATTAAGAAAAGGTAGGGTTCCTTAACTGTTTAGAGGTTATATCAAACTTTCTAAATACTAACTGTTTTTTTTTACAACAAATCTAATCTACTTCGAAACTACTCCATAATTTACCTATGTCTCAGACGAGACTTGAACCCTCGACCTCAAGGAAGAAGGGCAACACCTGATACCGTTGGGCTAAAAGCCCTTTGGTACTAACCGATTTAGAGATGACCTTTGAATGGTTTCATTTGGATGTTATCAAATAGCCAATGGTGAATCTAGAATTGAAAACCATGTAGTTTTCTAATTAAATGAAGCTGATAAAAATAAAAAAGACAACAATACTTGTGGCAGTTCGGGTCGTATACTTTGAAATATTTAAACAAATATCTGATAGTTATTTTAAAACTCTTCAAATTTTACCCACGGATGTCTTATACCTTGAAATATTAGCACAATTGTATCATTACTAATAATTTCTAAAATAATTTTTTCGATATATGACACTAAATTATCACTAAAAATTTATCGTCAATTCTGTTGTGTATTAGTCTTTATCAACTTCATTGCTGAAAATACACCTTTCACACTAATGTTGCAACAGATAAGATCAATGTACGTTTCAAGATAAGATAAACCTTATGAAATATATTATATGTTTCCTTTCTTTGACCATCTTTTTCTAATACTAAGGTGTTGTTTGTTTTGGAAGTGGTTAAATGTCTTTTGTCTTTTTCCAAGTTTGCGGAAGAAGTCGTGCACTTGAGAAACGACAACCCGCCAGAAGGGAAAAGTGCTCAAAAAATACTTTTATAAAAAAAACAAACGAGGCCTAATACTATAAAGTATGTGTTAGGCCCTGTTTGGTAGCATCTTAACGCCTCTTAATAAGAGACATATCTGAATCTTTTTGATTCAGACCGTTTGGTTACTTCTTATATTTGCATCTGAATCTGAAAATATCATCTTATTCGGTCAGACATAAAGGCACATCTGAAAGGAAAAAAAAGAACGTGTTTCCTTTTTGCCCTAACTCTACCCTCGTCTCTCTTCTTTCGCCCATCGAACACCAACCCCCCCATCTCTTCTGGCTCTGCATCTTTGAAGTCACAGAGCACCGACGACGCCCTCGCACCGCCAGAGCCGACGTCGCACACCATCCCATTGCTGAAATCAAACCTTAACCAAGCTCTGAATCGAAGCCCCCACTGAGATAAATGGTCTTCATGGTGTGAAATCGAAAATTGTTGTGAGTTTATTGTATCAAATATGAATGCGATTTTCTGAGATGTGAAAACGGAAATCAATTTCAAGTGTAGAAGATGCTCCCTGTTGTCTAAAATATAATCAGAAGAAAACGAAGGGAAAGGGGGTCTCCGGTCTTTTGCCGGCCGCGAAGGGCAAACGAAGGCAGACGAAAAAGAAGTCTTTGATTGGGCAAGGTAAGTAGCGACTAGCTTCATTTTTTTTGTTTGTTTTGACAGAAATCAAAGGAGGGCATGGAATGTTTGGTTTTGATGTGTTCATCGTGAACAGGTGGAGAAGAGGGGTCTGCGAATAGGGGGTGTTTGGGTTGTGGTCTTCGATGGAAGGAGAGGTGTTTGTGGGTTTTTTGACGACTGTCAAAGGAGAAGGAAGAGGCTGGTACGGTGGTCATGGGCTGTTCCAACAGCCTCTAGCTGTGAAAGAAGAAGAACAAATGAATGAGTTCCAATGGCTGATTTTTGCTGTTTATGACTTTATGTGCTGATTTTTGATGTTATGTGCTGATTTTTTATTTATGTTTAATTTGGATTCTATAGGGTTTATATATATATATATATATATATATATATATATATATATATATATATATATATATATATTCTTCAAGAGGTTCATTCATTTATTTTATAAATAAAAACATTGAATTCAACAAAAAAATAATATATAAGGTAAAATTGTCATTTTTATCATTCAGATCTGTAATTCAGAGGATCCAACCAAATAGCTTTTAAAAATTCAGATCTTAAGTATTCAAGACCCTCTTAGAAATTTAGACCTCTTAATTTTTCAGATCTTAAGAATTCAGATTTTGCCAAACAGCCCCTTAATCTATAAAATTAAAAATCTAGGACCCACCTTTCTATATCTTTCCAAACAGTCCCAATACTAAAGTCATTTTATCATTACGCTTCAAATACAAGTTTAATAGTAGTATTTGTCAATTTTAACATTTAAGAGTATTAATCAATATTAATGTGAGAGGGCTTAACCGATTAAACTCCTTCAGTCCAAAAGAAACATCCTCTTAGTCTTACCATTCATTCACATGGAACCAAAATGCATAGTAGTGTGATGTTCCTTCAATTGGCTGATGTACAGGGACTGCTTGTGATTAAAGTAAACTGGCAGGGACCAAATATCAATAACTAGAAAAAGCCATTTCCTTCTTAGGCTGACTGCCGTTGTAAAAGGTGGGACCTCAAGAAAAAGCGCGCGAATTCATTTATCAAATAGAGCCCACGCGCGCGTTCCACTCCATCTCCTATAGTCCTATCCAATCGCCACCGTCCACCACCGGATACTGTCAAATTACGACTTCCGAAGCAATCGCCACCACTGACCTCTCCACAACGCCTATATATATTCGCCGTCGCTTTGTTTAAATATATTCACTGTAGCTAAGGTTTTTCAGCATATTCAGCGTATTTTTTTATAATGCCTTCTTTTGTTAGCAGAATTTAATAAAATATTTTCATAATCATGCAATCTTTTGATAATTTATTGCTCCTTTAAGAATTATATCGTCATTTGGTTAATGCTTATATATCTATTCACATTTGACAATCATAAAATATTTTAGGAAAATTACAATTGAAGCAAGAAATATTGAAAGTTCGGTAAGTTAGATTTAAAAAAAAATTGTTTAATAAAAGTTTTGAAAGTTTATTCTTTTTGTTTTCTCATGCAAAACAGTAGATTACCTAAACAAAAAAATTATATAAATTGGCTACTTTTATATACAATCAACCCAAAAAAAGTAATCAAAAAACATATCGTCAAAATCCAAGGTTAATTTTATTTTTTTTAAACTTAGATGATTTTTATTTTCTAGTTTCTACTGCCACAAAATGTCAAAATCCCAAAAAAAAAAAAAAAAAACCTACAAATTTTGTATGACTCATAAAAATAATCACGTTTTAAGATTGGTTGATATAAGTAACCACATTTTATTTAGTGTTATAAATATGTGTCAATCTTTTAAATACCTTAAATACATAAATTTTTTTTTTGAACGGCGGAAATATATCGAAAAGAAAACCAGTGATACGCTAACAAAAATTACAATTACATATCAACACGGAAAGTAAACTAGGACTACCAATCAAACCAACTTAACAAGTGAAACTTAGATTTATGAATAAAATCTGCCACCTTCATGGGATTGCATCTAAAATTCCGACTGAACCACAGAAAAGGGCACTCCTAAACTTGACCTCAATTTTGTTCAACCCAAAAGCACCAATCTGGGACACAAGGCTCGATTAAAAAAAAAAAAAAAAAAAACAGACCAATTTTTAAACCAGACCCAAATCTCATAAGCGAAACGACATCCAAAGAACAGGTGGTTCACCCCCTCCTCAGCGACCCCACAGAAGTAACAAAGAGATGATCTAATCACCACCCCTCTAGCAACGAGATTAATAGCCACCAACCATAATCCTATTCTTCAGCAATCTCCAAATAAAAAAGTTGACTTTTGGAGTTGCCTTTCTAAATCCAAGTGTCATGTGCATTACTAGTCAGCATTACCCAAATCGACAGCCCTTGTTTTACCACACAACTCAAGCAACGAATTCTCTTTTACCCTCGTTTCAGTTGTCTTTCCCAACACCAATGAAATCTGCCAGACCTAGAATTAAAAATTATGTCACTAACCAAGTAATTCTTGTCAGCCTCAAAAGTCAAAAACGATAAAGCTCCAGAAACACCTCTTTGAAAACTACACCATCACATCATTTATCTTTCCAGAAATAGGTGTATCTACCATCTCCCAAACGTATTTCCATCGATTCATCAATTAAAATACCCCAAACTCCCAACTCTAGCTAAATCAAGCTTTGAAATGGTAAGCCAAATGCCTGCTAGCTAGAGAGAAGCTTTAGCCACCGGTTTCCATCAATACAAGAGATATTATAAAGGGTTGGCAAATCCTGGATGATCCGTTGTTGATAAATGAAGTTGTGTCCTGGTGTAAAAGAAAAAAAGAAAAAGGCTATGATTCTCAAAGTCCATTTTGAAAAAGCTTATGATGGAGTTTTTTGCTAAAATTGTTGGAGTTCATGGGTTTGGGACATAAATGGATAAGTTGGATCAATGCTTGTTTAATTTCTTTCGGATCCTCAATATTAATTAATGAGAATCCTACGGAAGAATTTAGATTGGAACAAAGGCTTAGATAAGGAGATTCGTTGTATCCTTTTCTGTTCCATTTCAATGTGGCTATGTTTGATGATATGGATGTAGGTCTTTTTTATCCTATTAAAGTCGGAGATGATGATGATGGTATAAGGATTTCACATCTTCTATATGCAGATGATGCTCTGTTTATTGGTAAATGGTATCGGCTTAACGTCAAGAATTTAATTGTCATCTTGAATAGTTTTCATGCAGTGTCAGGTTTGCATATTCATCTTCATAAATCGATAAAAATAAATTGAGATGGATTATTCAGTGGTGCAAAACATAGCTAATTTTGCGGGTTGTGAAGCTGATCAGCTCCTTTTTTTGTACTTAGGGGTTCCGATTGGAGTTAGTATGGCTCGTATTGCTAGCTCGAATCCGATTTTGTCAAAGTTTAAGGAGAAATTGAATGGATGGCAAGTAAAAATGATGTCTATAGGTGGAAGATTTTCTTTGATCAATGTTTGGAGCTTTGGGAATATATTATCTTTCTTTGTTCAAAATGCCTTATAAGGTTGGTAAAATATTGGAGGCAGCTAGGGTAAATTTCTTTTGGGGAGGTGAACTAGATGAGAAAAAAATTGCTTTGGTTAAATGGTCATATGTTCTCGCTTCTAAAGAAAGGTGAGTACTTGGTATTCGAGAAGTTGACTTCTCAAATGGCGTTGGCGGTTTCAAACATCTCCTTTGGCGCTTTTAGGTTCAAGTGATTCAATCCATACATGTAGGCCTGACAATCGTGTCGTGTTCGGGTTGGCGTGTCGCTGGGTTGGCGGGTCAAAATCTGTGCAATCAATAGCGGTGGGATATCGGTGGGATAGCGGTTATCGGTAGCTAGCAAAATAGCGGTACTAAATAGCGGTCAAAATAGCGGTACCACAAATAGCGGCGATATTGACCGCTATTTGACTGATATTTGGCAAATATCGGTGGGATAGCAGTCAAATAGCGTTTATAGCTAAAGTTTTAATTAAATCACTTCATTTATTGTTAAAATATAGATATATGGTGGGGTATTTTATGGGATTGACAAACATTTGCTTCTAACATTTTCTAATTTATTATATGTTTTACTTAATGACCTTGTATCCATCCAATACAACACAAGGTTACAAAGGCGCTACGTAATATAAAAATACCGATATCCCACCGCGATAACCTATATATCAAATATCGGCCCTTGACCGATATTTGATTTTGGACCGCTATAACTGCATAGGTCAAAATATGTCAACCCAAACACGAATCATTTAAATATACAGGTCACGGGTTGGCGGGTTTGGAACATAAACCCATATATGACCCACCAACCCATTTATTTATATGGGTTCACAAGTTGGCGGGTTCGTGGGTCAGATTTGGGTTTGTGGGTCTGAATTTTAGATATTTAAGTCTTAAACATCCAAATGAAAATTAAAAACATTCATAGAAACATGTTACAGACTTAGCCTTATAGGTTACGACTTATGACCTTAGACCATCCACCACGAGTCATAATGTCAAAACAGTCAAATGGTCTATGAATAAATGGTATATATTATATAACACTTATTAAATATTAATACTTGATACATAAATACATTTAAAAATAAAATAATTTTTTTATTAAGAATATAAACGGGTTGGCGGGTCAACCCGTTTATTTTTTAAGAAACCCATATCTGACCCATTTAATAAATGGGTTGGCGGGTTGGCGAGTTGAAAAAACTCAACCCAAACCCATTTATTTCGTGTCGTGTCGCGGGTCGTGTCCCGTGTCGTGTCGAGAATTGTCAGCCCTACATACATGATAGAATTGGTGGTTTTGTGGATGATGGTCATAAATTCAAAAATAAAGGTGTTATGGTCTTCTATTGTTGATTCAGTGTTAAAACTCCATAAAAATCAAGTTGTTTCTTTGAATTTGATGCGAAAGATGATTGGAGACGGGAGAGACACTAAGTTCTGGAAGGATATTTGGGTGGGAAACAGTACGTTGGAGCTTATTTTTTTTTTCCTATAATTGCTCTCTTGGACACAAATATTAAGGTCTCGTTTGTTTTTCTACAAAAGTACTTTTTGAGCACTTTTTCCTTCTGGCGGGTAGACGTTTCTCAAGTGCACGTCTTCTCCACAAACATGGAAAAAGACAAAAGACATTTAACCACTTCCAAAACAAACAACACCTAATTGTTTTGTTGCAAAGAGGTCAGAAAATGCTTGGAAGTGGGATTGGTGTATCGAACCTCGAAGTGGTGCTCAAGATTTGCAATTTCAAAACTTAAAAACTCTTTTGTTGCAGGTTAATTTCTCTGATAGATCGGACAATTGGAGTTGGGATCTTAATAATGGGATGGAGTTTGTTGTTAAGGATATATGTGTATTGATGATATCGGTTTATTTCAGTTAGCCCTAAAACGGAATGGAATAAAATTCTTCTTATTAAGGTGAACATTTTTCGATGGAGAGCTGCTTTGGATCGTTTACCCACAAAAGATAATTTGCTGAAATGTGGCATTGACATTCCTTGTGCTTTATGTCGAATTTGCAACAATGTTTCTGAAGATACTTGTCATGTTCTTCTCAAATCTTTTAGAAAGTTGGTAGATGGTGCGTAGTTGATTTGACGAATATCTTATTTGTGCGTGACTTAGCTACATTTTTGGAGTCATTGCATTTATCTTCAGGCCGTAAATTGGTTTTGGAGGCTATCTTAGTCGCAACTTGGTGGTCCTCATAGAAATTCACGAATAGGAGCGTTTATGACCACAAAAGGATAGTCTTTTTGATGATATTGTATCTTTGCTTTCATTTGGGTAGCTCATAGGAAGCAAAAATTCCAGATTAAATGGAATGAGTAGCTTCGGAATCCTTTTTTAAACTTTTGATGTTTTTGTTTGATTTTTGTGCTCTAGCTTTTTGTTAGAGCTTGTTTGATGCAATTCAACCGTTTAAAAGAAAATCAAGTGATATTATGCCACGATTTTATACAATTCGACCATAGGATATTATATTTCATTTTAAGTTTCCATCTCCATTTCACCAAAAGAGCCATATTTAGGGAACAAAGGCAACCAATACACATACCACCCAACTTTTTAGACTTCACCAAGGTATCCAAGCAACCCAATTTATTTTTTTGTTATCATCTGCCCCTTGCTAGCCCCTCCCCATAGGAACTTTCTTCTTGAACCTTCCAGTATACTAACAACCTTCTTGATAACTTTGAAAAGTGAGAAATAATAAAAAGGCAAGCTACCAAGAACAGATCACATAATTACTTGGTCTATGACTACCAATGGTACCCAAAAAAAAAAAAAGATATTTTACATAATATTAACCCACACAATATTTTACAATAGACGAGAGTACTATATCACAGTTTGAGTAATGTTACAGTTACACCCCCTAAAAAGGAAAAGTTTTATAACTTCCCAAAACTGTACACTTTCCACGTGTCAAGTCCTTCAATCTTTTTCTTTACCCTTTTTATAGTGAAGCAGAAGTAGAATCTCCATTAGCCACCTTAGACTCAAGCAAAGGTGTCACATCTGGCTGCTCAACACGTGTCCCCAAATGCTCACTATCTTCTTCATATCTATCCACACTAGGAAGAAAGATACCTAAGAAAAACAAACCACATCACAAAAAATATGATCTTCATCTCATTTGTGGAAAAAGACTTATATGCCCTTACCTATAAACCATATTCCAGCTGCCAAAAAGAATACTGAAGTTAAGATCAAAGCAGATGTCCTCCAGTTATTAAGTTTGTCCTGTGAGTGTCACAGATAAAAAACTATTAAGAATCATTGATAAATTCAAAATGAAGAATATTAAATAAATAAAAATAAATAGGTAATTTTCAAACCTGTAGGATTCCGACAAGTGGCGAGGAGGGCACGTCACCAAAGATGTGAATTGACACAGTAGAAATTGCCATTGACAATGGTCGTAAACTTGGTTTAACACTATGGAGACATACAAAATTCACTGGACCCTGTTTTTATTTATTATTTATCAGCATCTAAATGATAAATAAATAAACCTAATTCAAATTCGTAACAAGTTAATTACAATTTACCTGAGTGGCAAAAACAAGAATCTCCCCAATTAAAAAGAGAACCAAGAAAACGTATAGGCTGCTGAAACAAAAGGCACTAAAGCAAAACACTGCTCCAAAAAATGTTGCTATGGAAAGTATCTGCAAAAGGTAAAAAATATATATATATATATATATATATATATATATATATATATATATATATTCAAATTATAGATATAAATATGTACCTTAAAAGCATTGGGGATTGTGGAATTCATACGATCCAAAGAACACTTCCTCCTATTGTCCCCACAATTCCACCAACAACTGTGACTCCTCCAAATAATAAATCAGCATTCTCCTATAAAAATATTAAAATATGAAAAATCCAAAATGAACACTTTGGAAGCTTAAAGAACATTTTTTTTTATTTCATAACAATTTCGGTTTCTAGATAAAATGTTGTTACCATTTGATATATGCTATAACCAGCTTTTGGGCCCCAGTATGAATATGCACCAATGACAGAATTATACGCTATGTAACCTAAAAAGCCATTAAAAAGTAGAAAATCAGCAAATAATAAATTGAGTGAGAACAATAATTGAGATTTGAGAATATTAATTAATTACCTAGAACATTTACAACATATACTTTCTCACTCAAAAGAGCCTTTATATCTTGCCCTAATCTTGATAACTGATTTGACGTATATGAAACATAGCTGAAAAAAGAAAAAAAAAAACGCTAGTGTAAATAAATAATATAAAACAGGTTTTATAGATGTAAATTTTATAAGGGAAAACCTGGAATCTTTCTTTGAGAACTCTTCATTTAAAGACCCTGGGATGATTTTAGCATTCGACATGCCTACATAAACATGGAACTTGTTAACTATGGCGACAAAAAAAATGTTAATTTAATAGTAATTTAATAGAAATTGTTAAATGTATACCTTTCATTTGCAAAGGTTTCATTACAAAACCCAAAATAGCAAATGGAAGCATTAAAATTGCTTCACCAAAAAATGCATATCGCCAACCTAAACCATCTCCAACCTGTAAATCAGAGAATAGAACAGAACAGGTTATATCTCTTGTCTGTACAAAAGACAAAAATACCCTCATCATAAAAAAGGTCCCTAGAAAGCTTGTTTTGTCCTATCTTATCATGTCATGTGATATGAAATATAGTGGCATACCAATCCACCATAGACATAGCCAACAGCAACTCCAGTAGGTATGCACATATAGAATATTCCCAGCCATGCGGTTCTCTATAAAACAAAATGGATATAAAGTTTAGCTATTGAAATTATAAATTTATAAAAATAAAAAAACTTAGAAACAAAAAATATATAAATGTGGAGGATAATATTAGCAAGTAAGAAAGAGAACCTGAGCTACTGGAGCATTGTCATCAATGAATGGAGCTGCAAGACTTATAAAAGAAGCTTCACCAACACCAACTAACCTAAAAACAACAATATTTCAGTTACACCAAAAAAAAAAAGACATAAAATTTATGAAGGTTGATGGTGTTTGAAAGGGTAAAATGGTCAACATACATTCGACAGATAGTGATTGACCAAAAATCAACCGAAAGCCCACAACCAACTACAGCAAGTGTCCACACTGACAATCCAACTCCAATAAGTCTAAAAGGATTAATGCTGTGCTCATATACACAAAAATATAAAAAAATAAAAAGATATCAGTGATTTTTGTCAATCGAGTGATGTTTTAGATTTAGAAAGAGACAAATTACCAACTTACCTCTTGGCTAAGGATGCAAATATTGGAGATGCAATAAGAAGTCCAACCATGAAAGCAGAAGATAGAATACCATCTTTAAAATTGCTTAGGTCAAATTCACCCCTGTAGTAAAGAAGGTATAAAGAACATCTGAGAAATGATGTTATAAAGTTAATGATATTAATTAACTCACAATATCAGATGCTTGGAAGTAAGACTTACTGAATTCCACTACCATCTGAACACACATTATTCTCTCTGTACAAATTCTAGGGCTCCCATTTACACCATTAGTGGCAATTGCTCCTCGATCTATATAATTTACCATGTTGATCACACAGAATACCACAAGCAACCTGTTCATTATGAGAATTTCCAGATTAATTTAGATGGATTTCTTCTCAATTGATCAAGAAGTGAAAAGAGGAAAAGAGAAGAAACATGAAGAATGTACGTGTACCTTTTGGGAGTGAACCAAGAAGGAGCAGGATCAGATACTGAAGTTGGATCTATAGCCATTTTTTCCTTCGTCTCTGTCTCAGTGTGACACTAGGGCTTGAAATTTATTGATCTTCAAGTCCTGTGTTTAACCTTCCTATTCCTGAATATTCATGTACGATTACTTTTTATCTGTACATAGATACAGTATATCAGTTAACTTATTAGTTGCTTCACATAATTGTAGTAGAAGATAAGTTAAGACCCACCAAACCCCCTTTTCCTGATTATTGTTAGTTGTATTCTGATTTCAGAGTTTATATTGATGCTGGTGTTGATATATGATGGAAAATGGAAATATTTTGTCCAGTTGAGACAGATTTTCCAGATTCTATGCATGATTCCTTCTCAACACCACATATAACCAAAATCTAACGATAACTTGTGCGAAATCCTTTTTACCATCATAGAAACCCAAATTTTCGGTGGTTATGATGGACAATCGAACCGAGAATCATCGATCGAGTTTGAGAAAACACAAATTGATGAATTTAATACAAAAAAAACTGCTAACTTGGCGACTGCTAAAGCACAAATTGAACTTACAGGAAGATGGACAATCGAACTGATAATCATTGATCGAGTTTGAGAAAACACAAATTGATGAAATTAATAGGAAAAAAAAACGGTTTAACTTGACAGCTGCTAAAGCAAGTCATTGGATTTGACTAAAGAAAAAAGCTTGACCGAACTTACAGGAAGGTGGTGACGGCCGACAGAGACGGTGATCAACGGCGGAAGATTTCGAATCTGATCAATACAATTTGAATATGCTGTGTGTGTATGTGTGTGAGAGAGAAGACGAGAGGTTTTCGTGGGTACACAGCCAATAGCGAGCGAGAGAGGGATCGATTGGAAGACCGGGCAACCCCAAAACCATGTTTCTTTAACCAGACATGTGGATTGATGAGGATGGGGGGTTTTCAATTTTTGTTGAAAAGTTACATAGTTAAATGAAAAAAAAAAAAAAAAAAATAGGGCTCACTTTTAGAGTAAATTACACGAATAGTCCCTATCGTTTGAGGTAATTTGCACTTTTGGTCCATAATTTATTTTTTTAACTCGGAAGATCCCTACAGTTTATTTTTGTAACACGCTTGGTCCCTGTCTTACCTAAAAAGACTATTTTGCCCTTGATTTTTTAATTTATGTAAATAATGTGGGGTAGGTAAGGTAAAGTAAGGTAAGGTGAGATGAAAATGGAGTTGGTGTTGTATTTATTTGAATAAATTAAAAAATCAATGGCAAAATAACATTTTTAGGTAAGACAGGGACCGAACGCGCAACAAAAACAAACAGTAGGGACCTTCCGAGTTAAAAAAAATAAGTTAGGGACCAAACGCGCAAATTACGCCAAACCATAGGGACCATTCGTGTAATTTACTCTCACTTTTATTTATTTTTTATAAGATTTAATAATTTAATAAAAAATTAATAATTTGATCAAAATAATTATGATTACATGCATGCGAAAAGAGCATTCAAATAAAAAAATCGAAAATCTTTTAATATATATAGAGAATATGTTTTTTAGGCTATGAAGAATGGGCACGACAACATCGCGGTAATTGATGAGGTGTGTAGGATACCCGTTTTTAGAACCAAAATCGCTTTGGAACCGTCTTAAGCAGTTCCGGTTTTGGGTTCCTAAAGTTTTGGAACCGCCTTATGCGGTTCCGGTTTTTATTTTTTCGGAATCGCTACCCATCGGGTACCCATCGAAACCAGTGTGTGTGTGCGTGTATATATATATATATATATATATATATATATATATATATATATGTGATTAGAAAATAGAAGATAAACATATGGCAAAGGAATAAGTAAACATGAACCACAATTATACTGATTTACATACATGATTGTCATACTTTATAAATACAAACAAATAAATAACAAATATAATTTTTGTATATTGTGCAAATAAAAAAGCATGAACCATAAATACATAAAATCAACGTCCATTCTAGTGTAGTGGCATAAAGTATGATAGTGGATAAAAAAGTTAACCCAAAAAAACAATGACTGACATAGAAAAACAGTTAAGTAAATCAATAAAGTTTATCACCATTATTAATATGAACATGGATTTGGGAATGTAATCAATAAAGTGCGGATCAACTTGGAGTTTTGTATTTAAGGACAAGAGGATAACTGGTTTCTTCTGGTTGTGGTATGAGTCGAGGCTCACACAAGAAAGTGTTTATTGGTCTATTGTAATCAGGGAATCAAACGTTAAGGATTCAGGTTAGCTCATTTGTGGACGCGAGGCAGAGGTAGGGGCGTATTTTGGATTTGTGGCTAGGTTTAGGTTGAGGGTTGTGTTAGGACCTCTATGCATGTTCTTGCATGTTCTTGTCGGACGAACGCTCTGGGATTCGAAGCACAACCCGAATGTCAGGGTCCAAGAGACTGAGGTTCGGCTCATATTGATCTTTGGTTAGGTATTCTTGTGGGATGATAGGCTGTTGTGGAGGTGATGTAAGACTGTGGGGGCAACCACAACATTCACTAGGTTGGTAGGTGGTTGTGAAAGTGTGGTAAGTCTACGATTTGGCTCGTAACATTTTATAGGATGAGTTAGGCCGTTACAGGATTGGTTGTAAGACTGTGGAAGGGTTGCACTTTATAGTATGGTATGACTCCTGTGGTTTTGGTAAGCGTTAAGTTGAATGTTGACTGGGTTCCTACAGGATGGTCGGATGATGGCCGTTAGGCCTGTCAAAACATGCCACGACACGACACGATAAGAATATACGACACAAAACGAAATTGTGACGAAATCGAAATTCAAATTCGTGTTAGTAAAAAAAACACGACGTCGTATCGTGTCGTGTTCGGGTTAAAAAATTGGCACGAAATTGACACGAAAGTAACAAGAATTAAACACGATTAAAAGCCCACATATAACACGACAATAAAATGAGTTTGACACGATATACATCTGACTTACTCTTTTATTAAATAATAATTTTGAAAATATATTTATAATTATTTTAATGTATATATATATATATATATATTATATATATATATATTATATATATATATAATATATAATATATATATATATATATATAATTCGTTTAAATGTTTAGAAGTGAAGCGTCTCTTTGTTTTAATAACTTTATAAAATTCCAAGAAAGTTCCCTCAGGCACTGGCAAAAATCAATTAAACGATTCACGATTTCACGTACGCCTCTTCAGTCTTCACTCTTCTGGTTCATATTCCATCGGCTCTCCAATCTCCAATTCTCCATCCACGATTATATATTTGAGTAATTGCAGTGCAGATTATGGTTGCTCTGATGCTCTCTACTCTCTAGTATCGTCTCTACCATCTCTTCAATCCGCTACATTATCAATTAAAACCGATTTCGAGCAACCAAGAACAGTAGAACACATCGACTTGGCTCTTCAGAACATAGCGAGTTGCTGATTTCTTCATCACAACTATCTTGGTGATTTCTTCTGTTTTTCATCGATCATCACGGTAATGTTCTTCATCAATCGAAATTCATTACTTTGTGTTCTTTTTTAGTTTAGCTAATCGATCATATAGCTATATTTTTTGATTTGCCGCTTAACTTTGACCGCCATCACACAAGTATCAAACCCTAGTTCACCTCCTCTTATTATCTTTTCTCATTAGTACAAGACATCAACGATGATTCCTTCTGTTTTCTCGATATTAGTCCAACAATGTTTCGAAATTGCTTATGTTTTCTCCATTTATGATTTTCGAAATTCCTTGCTATGTGTTTCTTTTTTTGCCTAATATGCTCTGATTTATTGGTACAAGGCGTCAACGGTGATTCCTTCTTTATGTTTGTTTCTGATTGCAGAATATATGATTTTCAAAATTCTTTGATGTGTGTTCCTTTTTCTGACTGCATAATGTATGGTGTATCGGTGTATGTATCATGTATGATTTTTGATTCTTGTTTTTATAACATGCTCTAATTATTTCACCATACTTTTTTTTGTTTACAAACAAGTATATGTGCAAGACCATGTAGCCTTTAGCATTGAAAACCACACCATTATTGTTTACAAAGCAACCAAATACTCACACAATCAATCAACCTTACTGACTTAATTCAAACAACACCGTGGTTTATTAGCTTCACGACTTTTTCAGACATCATCTTAAGCTCATTTGTAGTAGCATAGGCTAATTCATTGGCGTATGAGCTCTCTTCTCTCAGCCTTTTGTTTTCACTTTCTAGTTGCTCTTTTGACTCTGTAATCTTGGCTACTTTCTGCCTATGCTTTAAATGTGGTATTTTGTGATTGTTCTTAATTTTGACTATGTGTTCAGATTTTTTTCTTATTTTTGACTTTATGGTAATATATTCGTTTCTTTCTTACTTCACTGCAAAGTTTTTCGAAATTTACTGCTATGTGTTTGAATTTTTTTTTCTTATTTCTGACTTTATAGTAATACATTTGTTTATTTCTGATTTTCTTTCTGATTCTTTTTTGAATCTTTTGGCATCCTAGTTATGAAGAAGGCAAAGCTTGATTCAACAACAGAACCTGCTGTAGTTGTGGCTCCCCAGGTATTTTTACTATCATCTCAATTTATTGCATTTCAGGAAGTTTACTACTCTTTCAATTCATTGCATACCGAAATCTTATATTTGTTTTTTGAAGGATGTTGACCTCGAAGAAGATGACATTAGTGTGGTTGATGTATATGTTAAAATAGAAGGTGAATAAGTTCATGTCAAATCAGAAAGAGAACGATGGTCGAAGGTATGGAGGTTTTTTTGAAAGACTTCCAATTGGTAACAATGGGAGGGAAAGGGCAAAATGTAAGAGATGCTCAAAAAGATATATCTGTGAAACAAAAAATGGAACAGGAAGCTTGCGAAGTCACATAAAAAAGTGGCCTAGGAGAGATACAAGTGACATAGCACAACTACTTATTTCAAAATCTGGTGGTTCATTGTCTATGAATTCCACAATTTTTAAACCCGAAAGATTTCGTGAACTTGTGAGTGAAGCTATTGTCAAGCATGATTTACCTTTTAATTTTGTGGAGTATGAGGGGATTAGAGAAGTATTTCGGTACTTAAATGAAAAAGTTACCACTTATACTAGAAACACAGCTAAATTAGATGTTGTGAGCCTGTTTAAGAGGGAAAAAATCATACTTACGAAATTACTAGTGTTAAACCAGGGTAGAATTTCTTTAACTTCTGATTTGTGGTCTTCAATTAACACGGATGGTTTTTTGTGTGTGACTTGTCACTTCATTGATGAGGAGTGGAAATTGCAAAAGAGAATTTTAAGCTTTCAATATATGCCACCCCCACATAGTGGCGTATGCTTAACAGAAACAATTTCCAATTTATTGACCGATTGGGGGATTGATTAAAAGTTGTTTACTATCACATTAGACAATGCATCAAGTAATGATACTTTTGTCAATCTACTAAAAGGTCAATTGTGCAATGAAGGTGCTCTTCGTAGTAATGGAGATTATTTTCATATTCGTTGTTGTGCTCATGTGCTAAATTTGGTTGTGCAAGATGGTTTGAAAGCTATTGATGAAGGGATCGTTAAAGTACGAGAGTCTATCAAGTATGTGAAGGGTTCTCAAGCAAGGAGAAAGAAATTTATTGATTGTGTGAAATATGTCAATTTGAATCCAAAAACAGGTTTGCGTCAAGATGTTCCTACCCGATGGAATGCCACTTATCTTATGATTAAAAGTGCTTTATTTTATCGACATGCTTTCTTTCATTTAGCACTTAGTGACTCTAATTATTTGGATTGCCCAAGTCATGATGAATGGGGTAAATTAGAAAAGATTTTTAGATTCTTGGAGGTTTTTTATGAAGTTACGTGCATCTTTTCTGGAAACAAATACTCCACATCAAACTTGTATTTTCCTTTTGTTTCTATGGTTGAAAAAATTTTAAAAGAAGAAATGGTAAGCTCAGATAAGTTTATGAAGGAAATGGCTTCCAAAATGTATGAGAAGTTTTCAAAGTATTGGTCCGAGTACAGTGTGATTTTGGCGATGGCTGCAGTTTTGGATCCGTGTTATAAAATACAGTACATTGAGTTCATTTATAAAAAAAACTATACGGAAGCAAATATTGTGATCACATTGATCGTGTAAGGGAGAGATTATTTGATCTCTTTAAAGAGTATGTTCTTGATTCACACGTGTCTTGTAAAACTTCCACAATATCAATGATCAGGGTGATTCAAGAAAGGTTGTGCAGGAAAAGAAGAGTGGCACGGTGCTTAGTAAAAGCACGAGAGACATGTTAAAGGTAAGAAACTACTTATTAAATATTTTGTGATCTTAACTTAATGTATAATTTTTTTCCACTTAATAATTTTTTTTCACAGAAGTTCACGGCTTATGAGAGTATAGAGTTTGCTTTGTCTCAAAAGTCACGGTTGGAGATGTACTTAGATGAGCCAAGAAGTGACATAGATGAGGATTTAGATGTTCTATCTTTTTGGAAAGCACATCAATATCGTTATCCGGAGCTTGCTTCTATGGCTCGAGATATTTTAAGCATCCCGGTCTCCACTATAGCATCCAAATCTGCCTTTAGTAATGGTGGTCGTGTTCTTAATCAATATCGAAGTTCTTTGAAGCATGACATTGTTGAGGCTATAATTTGCACCAAATATTGGTTGTTTGGAACTAAAGGTATTTGTTTTTTTTTACTTTCTGAAAATTTGAATTTGGTGTATTAATTAACTTTTTTTTATAAAGTTTACGTTATGTTTTTTATTTTGTAGGTGATGAAGAGTTATCTTTAGAAGAGCTTACCGATGATATCATGGAAATGGATAGCAACGATATACAAGACTACAAGAGTAGTGGAATGCATTTCTATTTACATTTAGTACCATTTTATGTTTTTTTTGTCGTGTTTGTCGTTTTAAGCATGTATTAATTTGTGGATATTGGTATTTTTTGTTATTTTATCGTGTTGTCATGTTTGTCGTTTTTTAATCATGAATTAATTAAACAAAAGAAAATTTTATGCTACTTTTGTCGTGTTGTCGTGTAAGTTGTGTTTGTCGGTTTTTAATAGATTCGTGTTCGTGTTAGGAAAAAAACACGACGTCGTGTCGTGTGGTTTTCGGGTTATACAAAAACAATTCATGTCGTGTCGTGTTACGCATATACACGAAATGATTGGCTGAATTGACAGACCTAATGGTCGTATGTCTATAGGCCCACCGGGTGCTGGTTGGGAGTCATCATGGCTGAAATTGGGTGATGGCAAGAACGGTGAGGAACCACGAGCGAGTCATCATGGCTGAAATTGGGTGATGGCAAGAACGGTGAGGAACCACGAGCTTCTCATTCCAATGGTTGGATGGTGTCACGACGTGTCGTGGACCCTCGTGAATTTTACTTATGTGTTGGGTCGGTAGTTATGTCGTGAAGATCCGCATTGTGTAATTCATTTGGTCTTTGACGTAATTGGGTATTTGGAGCAGTATGGAAATATTATTGATGGCTCAATAGCTGACGGTTTTGGGTGGGGATTTGGTAGGATTTTGAGTTGTTGGAAAGATCATGGTTATTTATCAGCATTTCCTCGTTGAGTTCCTTAGTGGATTTGTATTCGTTGTTGCGAGAACGGTTTCGGGTGAGTTGAGTTGCCAGTGGTAGAGTTCGTTGTAGGAATCCTACATGAATTGTTAGTTAAATTGTACCCCTGAGCACATGGGAGTATGAATGATGCCTAAGATTTTTCTTCCGGATTGACCACTGATACGTTCGTGGGAGCAGTGGGATGGTGATGACTTGGCAGTAAGTCAAGTGTGTATTTGAGAACTTTTAGGTGATTTGTGAGCTTAGGTTGGGTTGAAATTCTTGATCGAAATATTTTGAGTATTGTTATACTCGGTTTAGTGGTGTTCTTGGTCATAGACTTGGGATAAGTATGACGAGTGGATGATCATCAGCCATTATGTTGGAAATTTTAGGTTGATCTATTCCCAATTCTGTTAGGTATAAGTCGGTTCAGTCGCAGCTCGAGATTTTCCCGGTTTGAGTAGTTCACTATGAGTAGGGTTGTATCGTTGGGGGAGAGAGAATGGTTCTTGCAGTTGAATGTTTTTAAGTGTTTGGATTGTTGTTGGCATCAGTTGGGTTCTGCATGGTCTCTCGAATTTTCAATTCGGATGTGTTAATGTTATGAAGCGATGAGAGGGAGCATGTGGAATAGTGTTAGTATAACTTTCAGGAATTCTAACCGAGTCAGATTTCAAGGACGAAATCTAATTTAAGCGGGGGAGAGTTGTAACATGTAACACCCACAGATTCGGGCTAGTCAATTAAGATATAATAAGCGTTAAAAATGATTTTTTTTATAGAAGATTATCTAAGATAAATAATCTTAACCAAAGTAATAGTTAGGGTCAACAATTGTTACCTATTTAATTTAATAAAGATGAATTATGTGAATATTATGTGTTTCATGATTATTATAATATAATAAAATAGGAAAAATCAACTGAATCGCTTGTAAATCGTAAAAATAAGTGCGTCAAAACATATATATATATATATATATATATATATATATATATATATATATATATATATAGAAAGTACATGTCTTCCCGATCCCGAAAATATAAACTTCGTAGAAATCCGACTTCGTATGAATTAAATATGATTTTTATAAGATATAAAAAGTCAGTCGCGCACAATGAATGTGTGACGTAAAAAGCTACAAAGAGAATGGTTGACTTTTTAGCTAAAACCACCAAAAAGAAAATCGTAGTATTCTTTAAAATAAGAATTTTGAGAAAAAGTATTTTTTGGATCTAGGTTTTTCTAATTTGAACATACAACTATGAATACCAAAACAATAACCCTATGACTAGCCTACATATTTCGAAATTGTCATATGATTAGGGTTATAGACTTTACCTCTCTTGTTATGTAGCAATAACAAGTTTAATCCTTCTTGATCTTGACTTCTGAAAGCCTAGTGCCCAAAGTGTTGCACCTCTAATTGAGTCACAAACACCCAATGCAAGAAGATGACTTAGGAGAGAAGGATTTCGGCTAGGGTTTCTTTCTAGGATGCTTAGCCGAAAATCCCTTTGTATGGGGTTCTATATATAGTTGTGGCTGCTAGGGTTTTCAGGTGGAAACCCTAATACCTAACTTAGGCAACAAGCAGCCCATGAACTCCTTCCTTAGAGCCCATGGACGAAATCTTATGGGCTTCCCCATAAATTTCGTCCACTCCACTCTATGGAGCCCATCAGCCCAATTATGCAACTATCAATGTTTTGCATAACAGTCCCCTAATTATTTAATCAGTCTCTTTTGACCACTAAATTAATTCCAAATTAATTTCTGATCAATACTAATTAAATAATATTATTTCCAAATAATATATTAATCTTGTAATATATTAATAAAACCATTTTGAGTACAATTTATTATTCACATAATAAATTCTACTCTCTCTCCTCTTGTCTCCTATCATCATAGTGCAAGTTGCATGATGGCACCAAAAGGACCATGCTCATAATCAAATCAAGCACATACCAAAAATAGTTATGGGCTTAGATATATAATCAACAGTCTCCCACTTTGATAAGTCTAATAACTATTATTGCAAGTACGAGTACAGAATCTGATTAGCAATCGTAGCTTTCAAAAGCCGCTTTCGAACTTTGATCTTATCAGTAACGCTTCCTTTAGATAAGGGATCATATATTCCTCCATTCTCAAGATATCATATAGACATGAGACATGGATTATAATCATTCTCTATGTCTATGTGTTGTTTCCCGATTTCCGATTTAAGACGACTGACAATAGACTTCAGTTGAACACATCAACTTAGTCCAGGCTTTTATCCCACTTTGGGTAAAAGGAACGGATAAACGTCGACTCATATGCTTGCACTATTTACTCATCAAATCACACACAACAATACGTTTTATAACATCAAGTTACTGATGCGTTTACGCATTATCAATGTGCAACCGACTCGCAAACAACAACTCATATCTCTCCGTTTCAAGAATATAAGATATTATCGTCTCACAATCACTCGTGATAAAATCCATGAAGTGATTCATGTGAGCGTGAGTTTAATCCAATACTCAAATCTTATTTCAGGAGCACTCATGAACACTGCAACAGACTTTTGCTATGTCTAAACGCTTAGACAATCTACAGTCGGATTCATGACAGTCTTACCTCATATCCTACTTCCAAAGTATGATTTACTGTGGATGTTTGAATAACCTAGTTATTCTGGAAGTCAAAACATGCAAAGTGAAACACAAGAATAATTGAATCCAATATGGCCTCAAACTCTTCAGTATAAATAAAACACTTATTATTTAGTTACCATATTGTATACACATTACTCATTGTATAATGTTTCGGATAATCAACTTAATACTTGAATTGAAACAATAGTCATCCCATGCTCCAAGCATGCACACTATGTTTACCTATGGTCCTTACTTTGTGAAATAGATCAATTGAACACACTTTCAATGATACTCATTTCACAATTCATAATCCTTATTATAAGTGTAAGAACACCAAATTCTTGCCACTATTAGAATGTGTTAGATTATAACATTTTACGCAATGATCTTTTTGTAACTTCATAGCACCAGAGTCACAAAGACTTTGCCAATGAAATTACCAAGTGCTCTATTGGAGATTGTTACAAGACAACTCCATAGCACCAAAGTCAAAATTTGGGCCACAACCCAATTTTGACATTTGCAGGCCTATAATTAAAAAATTTGAAGTTATATAGGCTATTTCTAACCCAAAAATCAAGGGGGGCACAACCAGTCTTGTATACAAGATTCGCCCTTGCTCGGGAGCAATCCAATCATAAGCTGAGGGCAGGAAGGACATTCCAGTATTATGTTGTGAGCTCGAGGGCAATCCAGTCATGAGCCGAGGGCCAGGAGGGCATTCCACTCTTGGAATGTGGGCTCGGGAGCGGTCCAACTTTATGCTGCAGGCTCAAGGGCGGTCCAGTCTTATGTTGTGGGCTCGGAGCGATCCAACTTTATGTTGCAGGCTCGGGGGCGGTCCAGTCTTATGCTGTAGTCCCGGGGGTGGTCCAGTCTTATGTTGTAGGCCCAGTATGCATGCATTGTATATATTGTTGTGTGAGGTATTTTATGGAAAACTCACTAAGCTTCGTGTTTATCCAATTGTTTATAAATGTCTTTTAGGTACCATTGGTGATTGTGGGAAGCCGAAGGCATGATCATACACATCCTCCTGCTGATTTATGTTTTGAGAGATTTTTGATACTCTGATTCTATGGATTTGATTTTAAAACAATGGTTTACTACCTTATGGTTTTGCGGGAAAGTTTTATGAAAATGAAAAATTTTATTATGATTTTTGGGATGTTACAAATACTTTTCTTGTTGTAGGTTTCAAATGATTCCTTTCGAGTAACATCTTCTCATAATGAAAGCCACACAAATAGTAAGTTGATTTTTTACGCTAATGATTATCGTTGATTATGTGGCATATGTTATGCTTTGTGTGTTTTCATCTTTATTTTCAATCATTTTATTTTTCCAATGAGTTCCAAACTCTATACAGCTACCATGTGTCAAACTAAATCAGTAATCATCACTAGATTAAACAAATCGGAATCCAAATAAATGATTATTTGGTTGTTTAGTTGATATCACCATTTATTGAATTTGTTGAACTTATGATTCACGATTGTTCCAATATATGCTTCCTTTCTCAAAATCTTACATTTAAACATTATACAGTGGAAATTTGATGGTTTTTCTTCTATCATCATTTGAAGAAGTTACAAGCACAATGGGTACTGCAAGAGCTCTCGAACCTGAATTCCAGGGACTTGGTATGCTCCTAAAAAATTATGTTGTATATGAATTATGTTCTGTTTTGTTTTGTATCTCCTCAGCAAATTGAATTCAGATGGAATAAAAGCCAATCAAGCAAAATATCGAAACAATTATGTATGGGTATTCGTATGTTTGTGTGTATGATGTATATATGTGTGTCTTTATGTATATAGATGAAATGAGGCTTTTTCCCCTACAAACCTATCTGATGCAATGGATACTGCAAGTAAAATTGCAGCTAAGATTAAATTTGTCAAAAGTGCTATAAAATTAATCGTAAGTAGAGCCTACTATCGACCTGTCATAAAAATTCTGTGGTGTTGGTGCAGACATCATAAAATTGTGTAATGATGTCAATTTCATTACAATCCTGTAATTTTATTTCATTTCTTATGAAAGTTTTTGTTTAAAAAGTTCTGAATGGTTTTATAAGAGCAATGCCATATGAGTTTTTTCAGGTAATTGGTAGTCATGTTTGTGGGAAGAGTTTATATGCTTTAGCTTTGTTTGTTTACCCAATTCCAATTTATTCCACATATGTCTTCTTTGTTAATATATTTATCAAATTTGTATATGATTCAATTTTGTAAACTTGAAAGAAGGCACTGCTTTTCCCATTAAGTAGTGTCTAGATAAATGATGTTAAAGAAGTATTTGAGAAATGGAATAGATAATAAATGAGGCTAAATTTGTAAAAAGTTAGCGTC